CCGCCTCCCTCCGGGACAGCTACCCCAACCTCTCCAATGCTACCATCAGGAAAGCCCTGGACCTCTACCCCGTTTCAGATTTCTCCCCGGACCCATCCGAAAACATCTCCGCGCAATACTTCCGCGCTAGCCAGATGCATCGCGATCTTGACTTCACCTGTCCCAGTCTCCTGACCATCCAGACGAACATTAAGTACGCCACTAACCCCGCCAATGTCTCGAACTACCTCTACGCACTCAACCAAACGGCCTTTACGGAGGTGCTTGAGTACTTAGGGATGACGTATTACGGTGTTCCGCACTTCAGTGATATTATGTATGTGTTTAACTCAGTTACGGGTGGTTTGTTCAAGTATATCTCTACGGCATCGGACCGGAAGCTTGCGTCGGAGATGGGTGCTAGCTGGGCTTCGTTTGCGTACTATGGCAATCCGAGCCGTGCTAGAGGTAGTGTTAAGGGATGGGAGCAGGCGAATGCGGCGAATACTAGTTCCAGTACGCCGGGGTTGCAGGTCTTGGGTGGTCCGAAGATGAGGTTCACTGGGAGTAGTAAGGGGGATGCGTATGGTGAGGATTTGGTGAAGAGGTGCGCGTTTTGGAATGATCCTGTTGTGGCGAGTCAGTTGGGGGTGTAGATTATGTTGGTGATGAGTATAAGCGTGGGTGCATGCTGCCCTTTTCTTATTTATGAGATGGATATGAGTTATGCATTATGGACAAACGATTCAATAGATCTCTTTATGATAATTATAAAGTATAATAAAATCCTTGGCTCAATTGTCATATTGTGGGGCTCAGTTGTTTATTGGCGGCGGTCTTATTATATACTATGGCTTGATCTGGATAGCTATAGGGAACCATATATGGGCGTTGATGATTGCTTGCTTGGCACTTTACGTTAGTGACATGAGAAAGAAGCCTAGCGGAACACACTAATCAAGAAGCAGTAGCTTTTTCTGAGCGGTAGTACAGCCACGTAGCACATGTGAGAAAGAATAAGCAAGGAGAGGGATTTGTCTGTAGCTAAATATAGTAGTAGGACCCGGTACGCTTTTCCTTCGGCCATGGCGTCGTGACAATGAACAAGTCCCAAACACTATCCCACATTATCTCACATGTATCTGGCTGCTCCAAAGCAATTCTGAGAGCAGACGCAGTATATGTTTCTTTATATAAAGCAGCATAATTACATGTCAACAGACAATAACCAAAGATCTCGAACTTAATGTGTTGTTGCACTCCATGCCGTCGTCGAAATCCCAATATTTCAGAACAGAGTTCGTGATGACGACATCGAGTCCTTCTACGTCCAAGAAAACAACTACCAAAAGGATTAAGGTAGAATATGTCCGTTTAGAATTCAAGTATTTCAGGTCCAACTCCAAAGCTCCAGGTTTTGCGCTGCTTCCCTCTCCGAGCCCATTTCCGGGCGGGTTTCCAGATAATAAGATCCGGTTATCGGCATGCCGAAAACCAGGATATCCAGCGCACTAACGAAGTTTATTGGCGACTTCTATTACTTCATGTAGCAAATTTCTGGAATATAATTTATTTATAAAAGTACATAATATCAACTAGCTTAGCCAGAAGTGAAGTGCTTCCAACGTTGATTGGTATCTACAGACATAACTCACCATGACGCTCCACAAAGCGCACACACACCACCCCGCAAGACCTGTTACTGTACTCGGGGCGGGCCTTCTAGGTCGTCGGATCGCGGCCGTCTTTCTCGCTGGCTCTTACACCGTGCATCTTTTTGATCCTGATCACAATGCTCTCTCCGCTGCTGAGTCATTTATCAAATCCTCTGGCGAGGCATTCACTGTGCTGACGCCTTTGCCGCATCCTGAGCGGGGAAGGCTATCGCTTTTCTCTGATATGGTGAGTGCGGTTGAGAACGCGTGGCTAGTCATCGAGGCAACTCCAGAGCAGCTCCCTCTCAAGATCAAGATTTTTGAGGAAGTGGATAGACATACACCCGGGGATTGTATTCTCGCATCAAATTCAAGTTCGTTCAAGTCAAGGCTTATGGTTCCTGGTTTGAGTGAGGAGAGAAAGAAGAGAGTGATGAATGTACATTTCATGATGCCGCCGGAGATGCGACCAGTAGAGGTGATGACCTGTGGTTCGACTGAAGAGGAGGTAATGGCTGAAATGATGGAGTTGTTGGAGGGTTGTGGGATGTGTCCGTTTATGGTGCGGAAGGAAAGTACAGGGTATGTTTCATTCTCTTAGCTCTAAGGTGACATTGCTGATCATGATGCAGGTTTTTATTTGGCCGTGCTTGGGCAGCCATTAAGCGAGAGATCCTGAGTATTCTGGCTGAAGGAGTTAGCAACCCTGATGACATTGACCTACTATGGAAGGAAGTTTTTCAACGCCCAACGAGTGGCCAGCCGTGTCAGCTAATGGATCAGGTTGGCTTGGATACTGTTGCAGCTATCGAAGAGAACTACATCCAGGAAAGGGGGCTGGATGGGGACAAAACGGTTGATTGGTTACGTGAGAACTATATCAACAGAGGGCGATTGGGCGATAAGTGCGAGTCCGGTGGGTTGTATCCCGCTGAGCAAGAGGGCATGTCTGACAAGCTCTATGTCTTGGATGTTGGTATCGGGGATAATAACGCACTGCGTGATGCGAGAACAGCAGGTCGTGTTCTCGCAGTGTCTCCGAAGAGTGGAAAAAGAACTACCCTTGTCAGTGGATTGTCCTATCCAGATGGGATTGATGTTTCTCCTTTTTGTGGGCGGATGTTCTGGACGAGCATGGGGCACGCCCTCTCTGCCTGTGACGGATCTGTGCAGTCGGCTACGCTCGATGGGAGTGATATTCACACGCTCCTGAAGCCTGGAACGATTTATACACCCAAACAGCTCATTATCGACGATGTGGATCGTAAATTGTATTTCTGCGATCGCGAGGGATTGAGTGTGCACCGGTGCAATTTTTATGGAACAGATCATCAGATACTGATCCAAACTGGGTCGTTGAAAGTCCCATCAGAAAGGAAAGATATGATGCGGTTTTGCGTGGGTGTGGCCCTTGATCGGGGGAATAGGCGTATTTACTGGACCCAGAAAGGGCCGAGCAAATCCGGAAAGGGAAGAATATTTCGTGCGGGGATTGATATTCCTGCTGGGCAAACAGCCAACAACAGAACTGATGTTGAGTGTCTGTTAGAGGGACGTCCGGAACCGATTGATTTGGAGTACGATATGCAGACGCAAATGCTTTACTGGACGGATCGCGGTGAGCATCCTATGGGGTGCTCCCTGAATCGGGTTGATCTTAGTGGCGATATCGATAAAGAGACAATAGGGGAGAAGGTGGAAATACTCGCCAGACAGTTCCATGAGCCTATTGGATTGAAGCTGACGAAAAATGGGGTTTATGTCACCGACTTGGGTGGATGTGTGTATCTGGTAAACGGCACGAAGAAGACGGTGGTAACCCAGGGAGAAGGATGTTTCTCAGGACTTGCTATACTGTAATAGTGTCATGACACTCAGCGTGCAATCAACTTACTCTAGCTAAGACTGTTCATGTCTTTCTTCAAGAATAGATACTCGATAAACCCTAAAAACGCGCCAAGTCCTTCGAGTTAAGCAGAATTAACAGTTCCATACATCGACAAGATCCATGCTTTTCCTAGCCTGTTCCCTGTTTCTGATCGGGCTAGCGAACTTTAACACATGTTATCCAGGGTACCTGTCGGATCTAAGGACGGTAATATCCTGATGAACCTTTTGTCGGGAATTACTGGCGAATTCCTTCTGAGGCATCACCTGAGCATACTTGGTCTTCCTACCAAGCCCCATTGCCAACTTATTGGCCGTTGGTTATGTTCCACACCAAATGATAAAATCAGTATTAATTGTATCAAAAGTCAGAAAGGAGCACTCTCAATGCACAGTGAAATAATCACGCCTTTGACAGGTAGGGCGTGTCCCTTCTCCAATTTGGAGAAATGCATTACTAACGAGGATCATCTCTAGTCTGTGGATGAGGTGAACAGTTTCCTGAACCTCGGCTTATTTTTGAGGGGACTATCAATCCGGCCCTATATGTTAAACATCTAGACTGTCTTCATTTCTCTTGTTTACTTCTACGTCCTCTTCATGATGTTCAGCCAGCCAAAGGGCTTCCGATCAATCAGCCGACTTGCCATAACTGTACGAACCCCTTTTGGATGACCTTTACAAGCAGCTCGCAAGTCAAAACAGACGCATCCGATCAATTTGGATTGCAGATGTTGCTCAACAGGGACAGAGTGGTGTTTTAAATGAAGCCATCTTAGGCCATGATCGTGAGCTCTCATCCCGCACCGCACAAGCCGTTTGAACATTCTTTGACGCCAATCTAGCCGATTGGCTCGATCATGGTCGTGATCTTCTGTTCATGATAAATCAATTTCAGGACCAGATCCCTCAACCACTTGTTGGCATCGGTCACAGTATGGGTGGAATGCAGCTGTGAGTATTCTCGATCCGCTCAAAGCGCCCATTTCTCATGGATGATAATCCAGAGCCCACCTGTCTTTATTGCATCCATCCCTATTCGAGGGTCTTATTCTGCTCGACCCGGTGATACAGCGCGAAAACCTGGGCCGCAAATTCGCCCAGACATCTACTTACAGACGAGACATATGGCCCTCACGCGAGCAAGCAGCAGCGAAATTCAAGTCAAACCCATTCTATCGGACATGGGATTCCCGCGATTTCGACAAATGGATCCAGTACGGGCTACGAGACCTTCCCACCCCATTACATCCCGTCACGGACGAAACTGGACCATCCGCCGTTACGTTGACTACAACCAAGGCACAAGAGCTATTCTACTTCGTACGGCCTTCGTATGTTGACGAGCGATCTGGACTTTCCCGCGGTAACCCTGAAGAGGAAATGCATCCGGATGACCATGACGCTGATTATCCTTTTTATCGACCTGAGTCGGCATGAATGTTTCGTCTGTTGCCCCATTTGAAACCACCTATTCCACTATGGCCTGAAGGCCTGAAAACAGACCACACATTTGATATACACTGCCAACTGATGCGTTCTAATAGAATAGAGAATACGACTACTACTACTACTACTACTACTACTACTACTACTACTACCCATTTTCAATGGTATCTGAATATGCAAAAAGCACAAAAACATACAACAGAAGGGATTCGCTGGTGGTCACCCACCCAACTACTAACCTCCCGGCGTGTGGCTTAAGTACGGCTGAGCGGACGGGAAGCCCTGTTTTCCACACCCTGTGGTCGTATGTACTCTAACAAACATGGGAAGGAAACATATAGAGCAAATGCAGATATTTTTTGAAAACAGAGAAGTTTTTGAGGAAGTCCCGCCGCGGCATCCTGAACAAACACAGCATATATAGAATAGATACGAAGATCGATATCCAGACCAGAGCCGTCGTGGGTGGGTATGGAATTGCCGCCCTACTATAGCCCCTCATGAAAGTCTCTTACATTAAAGTTGGCCGGAGATCGTAAGATGCAGGTTCCCGAGATTTAGATAGCTGTGGATCTCAGAAATCTACCTAGCAGGGTATGAATGCGACGATGCTCTGTTTACCTGTGGTTGTGGATTAGTCTGGAGCCTCAAAGAATTGATTCATCTATCCCGTTTCCTAGGATTATTGTGGCGCAACATATTTGAGGCTTGATACTCATGAGTGTATTAAGAATTATGGTATTGGTGTCGCAGGAAGCGGCACGGTGAATAATGGAAGAGCGACAGAAGTTACAGTGCCGGGCTTAGGTTACCTATTCCCATTAGAAGAAGATTAAAGACATGGCGGAAGAGTGTGCCGAGAGGTTAGATTGTTACATTGGACAATTAATAATGAAGAGAATGCATAGAGGCAGAAGAGATAAGGGATGACGAAGAAAGACCATCTGGTTCTATCAGAGGAGTCGTACAAGATTGTGAAGCCGCTCAGCGCAGACATAAAGGAAAGGCTTTGGTGAAGGTCTCTTGGGAGCTCTGTCTTCAAAGGTAATATTCTACCGAAGCCATAATATTGCCAGTAACGCATACAGTGTTTCCCATTATCCTGGCAGGCTACGTCTGTACAGTACTCATTATCTCTGGTTGTCTGTCTATCCAACGCAATCAAAAAGCTATGCAAGAGTCCCCCGTCAAACAGTTCAGCGCTCTATCTGATTCTTGCTCTTCTCGATACTCATCACCACCCATCCACATAGTAACCTGATACCACCAGCTGTCTCTCCCGAAGCGCATTGCTGTCTTGTACTCCCAAGATTCGGGATACCAACCTCCGGATTCCCAGTCGAGAAAGCCAGCCAAGTGTCCATCTTCATTGATTAAGATGTTATGAGCAATGAGGTCTCCGTGAGTGAAACTTGACTTTATATCGGCGCTGTTGTAACTGTCTCGCAGTAGCGAATGTATTATTGTATTCATCAACTAATTTGAAACCAAGTTGAAATGCTGGTGCAAAAAGCCGCTGGTAGAATGATTCGTGATCTTTGAAAGGACCCATGATGTGATCAGGGACGCGCGAGCTGCGGAAGAGCTGTTCCGATAGGCGAGCAGATAATATCCTGACTTTGTGGCTCCCACTCGCGCATAGCGTGGACGCAAGTCTTCAGTTCCTCGAGCCATGGATCTTCGTCAGCAACCTCCAAGAGATCATCGGGAATCTTACAACTCAGTAGAATGCACAGGATCAGCCGCGAGCCGCTTTAGTAGTTCCAGGCTCTATAATGGTGACATTATTCCAGTAATTTTGTAACCAGCTCTGACGTGGCATGATTGAAAGCCTGGATCAGTACTTGATATCTAACTCAGCAGGTATCTCAAATTTAAAGCTGCTGCTATGAACATAAGAAGTATAGACTTAATGGGCAATTTGGGTTATCTGTATACGGAGTCTCCTTAAAACCCGAGAAAAGAACCCGTAACCGAGTAGGCTCTCTGATAGCGTTACTTTCAGTTTTAGGATCAAGTTAGCTACCAATGATATGACTGTGCATCCTCACGTGATATATGATTACTAGGGCAGCAGACAGTTCGTGCTTGCGGAACTCTTCCTCACTCACAGCAGTCAAATGCTCAGAGGGCGCTTCAGAACCATTATTCGGCATCCATCATACCGACTGACCATGAAGTGTCATTCCCATATACTTGGGCGCTCTATTCTCTCCTCAATTCCTATCAGCCAACCATGTTTCTCCCCACCAAGTGTCAGGTTGCTTCGCTGTCCCCAGAAGACCCACTCAGGCTTAATGCACGGCTTAACTCCACAAAGCCTCAGGCTCGCGTGGAGTACAACTGGATCAAGGGGGTGGAAACACTTGAAGAATATCAGCCAGGGGATTACCACCCGGTAATGATTGATGACGTGCTTTATAGGCGGTACCGCATCGTAGATAAACTAAGTCATGGTGGTTACTCTACCGTCTGGCTCGCTCGAGATACTGCCCTCAAGCGATACGTCGCGCTGAAATTCAACACAGCGGATGCACATCCACGTTAAGCAACTGTCCTTAGGGCACTGTATAAGCCATTCTCATCACCTCAAGCACACGGACGCAGTCTGATACCGGTAGTATTCGACAAATTCAAAATACAAGGCCCTAATGGAACTCATGCATGCTATACTACAGCCCCCGTACAATGCAATCTTAGGGAGATCTCTTTCAGCCGTCTCTTTCCCCTTGACGTGGCCCGAGCGCTGTGCTATGGACTTACACAGGCTGTTGCTTACACGCATTCGCACAGAAATGTACATGGAGGTTCGTCAAGAAGGCCCTCTCACGACGTGGACCCCATTAGCTAATTACGATCTACTGAATCAAGATATCCACCTGAAAATATCATAATTAAGTTTCCATCTAACTTTGACAATCTTTCCACAAAAGAACTGTACGAAAGATATGGCGAGCCTGAGACAGTTCTCATCAAGCGCTGCGATGGAAAGCCCCTTACACCTAATATCCCAGCTCAAGCGGTGAAGCCTCTATCTCTAGGAAAATACGTCGAAACGATGACTTTGGCCGATGTACGTCCACTTCTAAGCGACTTTGGCGAGGCCTTCGCTCCTGCCTCAGAAGTTCGACTCGGACAAGACTGTCACAAACCTCCGGCCTTCCGCTCCCCAGAAGCCAGATTCGATCCACAAAAACCGCTCGCGTATTCTTTGGACATCTGGAGCCTAGCTACGGCGATATGGGAGGTTATGGGAATGAAACCTCTCTTCAGAATTGAGATGGTTCCCGACGATGAAATTGTGGCACAACATATTGATGTACTGGGATCAATGCCTAGGGAGTGGTGGTTGCGTTGGAGGGGAGAGGTAAGTTCTTTACGAAGGATGGGCATTCAAAAGACGCATACGTGGAAAATAAATGGCCTCCCCTTGAAGAGTCATTCGACATAGGATACAGAAGTGGAGGAGAATGTGGAGGGGTGCGCTTGAGGATGAAGAGTGATCCGCGTTTTTGGATCTGATCCGCAGGATGTTGCTGTTCCAACCGGAAGCGCGACCGACAGCTGAAGATGTGCTCCAGTCGGAGTGGATGGCCAAGTGGGCTTTGCCGGCTTATGAGCGAAGCTTAAATATATCTGGTTGATGTGACAAGTATGCAAGGAGGTAAATATAGTTACTAGTAAGTAGCGAGACTCAACCAGAAAATCCCCTCAGTTAATCAGGACCTAATATATATTTGCGTCTTTTGGTCCACTCAAATCAACTCCTATACCGAGAACATTTTTTCACCTTTCATTGATAATACTGTTAGAGGATAAGCCTACTACTCACATTAGAGCATGACAACAAAAATCACTTTTCAGAAGCCATGTAACAGACCATATCCCGTCATTAGAGATCACCTTGAAGATGGACGCCTCTGAATTCATCGGCCGCTGCCCTATTTGCGAGGGCATTGATCCAACCGGCAAGACGTATAGCCGCTTTGAAGATTTGTTCATCAACAATAGGCGCAGCTACCTCATAATACTCACCACCCAGATCGTTCTCCTCAAGCCACTCCAGCCCTCTATCCATCACGAAATCACAATTTAGCTGATTTGATTCCGTCGCCCACTTCTTAATACACTTCAAGGGTTGACGAGTATTTGCACACTCGGTATCAACTGGTCGGGGCCTGTTTTCCTGATGGAGTCTATCGGCCCACTTCGCTGACGCCAGCCGTTCAGGATTGTGTTTGAGATTGTGCTTTATACCATTTATTTTGTGTGGAATGGCAGTATCCCAGACTGAGTGTAGGTTCCATTTCTTGTTGTCATCGTCGCACGGAGCCTTGGCATCGAAGCAGACACTAATATCATTCCCACCTTTTGCCACTCCCGTGACGTGCAGTGGTTGGTGTAGGTCCCCAAAAAGGTGAATCAAAAACATCAAGGCCTCCTTTTTCTGGGTCATGTTGGCTTTCTTATCATTGATTTGATGGGTCTGTAGTCGCAGAGTGTTAGAGACCGAGGACGCAGAAGGACGAAAGTAAGAGATATTCCGTGTCAACAATATTGTGGATACAGGCAACTCACCATATTTGCCATCATTGAGATGATACAGCCTTCGGCAGGGCAATCATCCGGATATGAGACGGAACATGAATTTGGAGGTTCGTCATGTGGGTCTGAAGCCAAATTAGATGGTGAGTGACCCATATACTATTCGTATAACATACTGATATAATGCAAGGGTCTAGTGAGCGGTCGTTTCCACTTGATGGTGTCCGGCCACGTTGCGGCGTCAGAGATATCAAAGTCTTTATCGTTGGCGAGAAGCTCATTTACGAGGTTAGAGCCGGTAGGAGTAAGGTGTTTCTCAGCCAAGTAGGCGACAGCTCGATGCCCAACATCACCCCAAGCGATCGCTGGTTGCACTGACAGCGTACAGATTGTGCAAAGAAGGAAAGCCCGCATTGTAATGGTACGTGTCGTAAGTCTGGTCCCTAAACAAATATACAGTGGGTTTTGGGGTACAAGCACTAATATGCCAAGGGCATCGTCTTCTTATAACATCGCTCCGGCTAACTGCCCAGTTTTGTTAGCGCACGGAAAGCGGGGACCTACTAACTACATACCAATGACCATTCAAGAGCCGTCACAATGACATTATTGGTTCTTGTCATACAACTCCACCGTAGATACTGTGTCAAGTGCGGAGAATTATGTACTGAGGTTCCATCATTGGAAGGAGATGAACAAAGAAAAACTAGCTATACGAAATCTACTCCCGCGGACAGCCAAACTACAGGGACCCAAGGTACAATTTGGCTCAATCGTGCTTAGATTTCTATGCTTGGCCGAAGCAAGAAAACATGGTGTGGTTCGATCTTGAACTCTACTCGTGACCTATTCCTTTAGACTTTATCTCTTCAGTGGATAAGGCTGCCGAACACACCACGTACTGTAATCATTTTCACACTGCCAATTATTGAAGTCTAACCTTTGCCACCTAAACCATGGATCATTGACAGTTTGGATATCTTACTCTATTGTACGAAGAATTCTTTCTACGTCTTTTCGTTATACGATCTGAAAGCTATACCACGGAGGGCGCGCTGTGGCCGCGAATTGGCACCTGCCATACTTCGCCACAAACATCTAGTAACCGAGTCTACAAATGTTTGACCTTCTGCCAGGCTTACTACTCAACCCGTACTTTTGAATGTACTTCCGCGATTATCATTGTTAGCTTAGTAAGTTACACACAGAGTAGCCATATCTGACAGTCTGGATCAACACTTTGTAAAACAAAAATGAGGTGGAAGAGTAATTGTGCGTCACAAATCTTTTTCATTGCTCCCCAATTTAACATTTTGCGACATTGTCATCATTATCAGGACAAAAGTACCGAACTTGGCTGCAGAACGCCTCAAACTCAATGGGCAAAAACAATCGGACGGCCTTCTGTCGCCCCCTGCCGAGCCCCATAGCTTACTCCATCGACCCTCAGTCCGTCCTCATTGAGTAGTGTGATAGTATCACCATTATTAGAAAGTGGACAGCTTGACATCTCAAACCTCTTCATAGCTCGAGGGTCCAGAGCAGCATTGTGAGGGAGCGCTTGAACTTGACCAGCAGCATTATGAAACCTCCATGATTCTAGGGCTACTCTGTGATTTGTAAGGTTCTCAAGCGTAACGAACTCTTTTTCTTTGGCAGACCGGTCATCCCTGCCTCGTGGATTGATGAGGGCTTCCTTAATGGTCACCGAATTCTCAATGATCTCCTTGGGTAGAATGTCCGCCCAGGTAACGACGTGCTTTGCGAAAGCATGTCCATTGTGGTCATCGGTGTGAGCGGCTTGAGATGCGAATGCAAGGAAAACGCCAGTCCAGTGATCGTCGTACTCAATGAGAAGGCCGCCATCCTGAAATACGCCATCATCCTTGACAAAGTGCGGGATATTGCCCTGGTTCATGTGAACGTTGTGGATTCCGTTTCTGGTGTTGAACATAGAGCCGAATAGATATATAGTAGCTTTGTGGTTAATTGCCTTTTTTACCTCAGGTTCCAGGACATCAATTATATCGTTATTTGTGCCAGGGATGTCGTGGGGAAGAACACGGCCGCTCTGTGTAGTGAAGAGGTTCCCTCGGATAAAGTCTAGGCCCTTACCATCGAAATCGGTGAGCTCTTCAATTGGGTGGAAGCCGAAGTCCAAATTAGAGAGCTTCTCGGCGATGGGGTGCTCGACAATGTTATGGTTCACCCAATAGGCAAGCCGGGACTCCTTGCCTGTGGACTTGATGTTGATAGCTGCGCGGAATAATCCAGGGATCTCCCTTGGCTTCTGCTTGTTTGGTGGATTGCCCTTGTGCTTGTGTCGGTAGTCACGGTCAAATTGTGGCATTTTTGCATTGTTGTCATGGTAGTACAACGAGAGATGGGGGGATTTTGGGTCCTCGAAACGATCTTCCAACTCGTAGTGAGCTGGGAATCCTTTCCAGATTCCGTAGTCTCTGACCGGCATGGTGTTTATGAGTTATGTAGCAGCGTTGGAATATATATTGGGCTAGTAGTGTTTGGAAGCTAGAAGGAGCTAAGGCTAAGTCCAAGTGCAATGGATCTAATATATCTCTGGGGAATTTCGAGGAGGGGAATGTGGAACGAACCACGCGTTTGCCCTCATAACCGTTACAATTAATTCTCTTCTGGTCTGGAGCGGTCTACCGTGTTGCATCTTTGGTGTTCGGTCGGCCTCCAGCCCGTTCCATGTTTTCTGTGAGCCAATATAAGCTTATGTTGTAGTATATTATCACGCCAACACATTCCACGTGGACAACTGTACGGGATCAGGCCACTTCTATCTTTTAGTGCAAGGTATATGCATTTTAATTAATCGGATTCTTACATCGCATCCGTGTTATGCCCTAGATGGAATCATGAGGAAGAGATATCCAAGGGGGCAATAGTTTCTGGATTGACAATATATCCCGCACATCAAGAGCCTCATGGCGCTGCAAGCAGGGATCTGTCTACCTCAATGCGCTCTTAGAGGCCTCGTCGTAGCACCACCAGAATAGTGTATAAATATAGCCTAACGCCTCATGTCATTTCGTTTTATTTTGAAAAGCAGCGTCTCGTGAAAGGCTGTCAACCTCGTATTCGTCGATCCGCTAAGTCTTTCATTTAAAGTTATCCGTATTCAACGCCACCCCCTCCTTGTGGGAAAGGCTTCCGCGAACCAACCTCTCACATTTTTTAATTCATGTTTGTGTAGAAATCCACCTATGCTTTTCATGACCCAACACCTTGTTTTGCTTTTGACTTTCCTCGTAATGAGGGATGAGGTTTGCGCTGTAGGAGTTCACTCCGCACCAGCTGTAGCCAAGGAACGCCGCGTCGGATCACCAGCATCTGCTGGATACGAACGAATCTTGGCTTCGTCCAAACTTGCCCAGTCTGCGGGAGACCTCGTGTTCGAGGGCAGATGATGTGAGGCTGACTGCCCCAACGGTGGCTGGGGCTCAGCTGAAGTCTAGTCAAACCCAAATAAATGGAATAGGGGTTCTACGAGGGAGTTCATGATGGGCGTATGAAATAGCATGTGAAACGTGCACTCGAACCACAGACTTCCAGATGTCCACATGCAAAATGTCACCTAAACGTCTCATTGTCTGTTGCGATGGTATGTTCGGTTGTACTACTTGGGGAAAGTAGATTCGTGCTAATAATGGTCGGTTCTTCCAGGAACCTGGAAAGACTCGACAGCGGATTCTCAGGAACCTCCGTCGAATGTTACGCGGTTGACGCGCACTTTAAGCCGCGTGGCAGTCGTGGAAGAGAATGGAGTGAACAAAGAAATTCCTCAAATCGTCTACTACCAGAAAGGCGTTGGGACCGGTCTAGCCGACAAGTACTTCGGAGGTACGGTGTCTAGACGTTGAACCCGACTCGTGTTCCATGGGTATTTCTAATTGATGTACTAGGTGTCGCCGGGATCGGAATCAGTGCGAACGTTCGTGCCGCTTACGGCTTCCTCGTGGATAACTACGAGGAGGGCGATAAGATCTACTTTTTTGGATTCTCACGCGGTGCTTATACTGCCAGAGCAATCGCGGGTATAGTCTGTGAACTAGGGCTCTTGACTCCCCGAGGC